CTTTGCATTTCTGCAGCACCTCCCAAAACCAAGTATAGGCAGGGCCAAATTAAGAACATTATGGGTGCTGTCGGTCAGTTGGATGGGAAGCAGCAGAGGCGGCTCTCTAATTAGGTGGCTGCTCGCTCCCCAGCAAACCGCCTCCTAACATGCCTAATTATTGAGCCGCCGGTGCCTTTGCCTGATTGTGTTCAGCCAGGCCCGCATTGCCATCGGGCATACCGAGGCCGGCCAGGCCTATTTTCTGTGGTGGGCCTGGAGCTGCGGGGCATTCTAACAGGCAAAGCTCTGATACTTCCTGATAGTGTAAAGCCTTCTTGACCCTTCCTGTCTCATTCTAATTCCCATTAGTATAGGGTAATATAAAAAATCTGGAGGAGAAAAGTAGCAGCATGCTCCTCCTAGCAATGCCAAGAGAGCTTTTGGAGGATGCTACAGGTACACTATGTGCACCCCTAGGTCCCTTAACTTTATACCTGCAGCAGTTTTTTTTCCCATGACAGAATCTTTTTAAGTTTTCCATCCAACATTCTGTGGCAGAGATCCAAGAAAGGTTTTCTTCAAAGGTACCAAATAACATGAAAACCTGTATCCTTTATGTGTAGATATCTTGATCTTTAAAATAATGGGAAGTTCCGGCAAGGAATCGGTAAAGTAGAAAATTACTTTAAAATAATTTGGCAATAAGTAAACCAAATTGCTGCATATATTATATTAAAGAATTGATGATGGTCTAATGTGGTTTTCTAAAGCAGCACATTGTGTTTCAAATCACTTTTCATCCTATTGTAAGACTTACCCAATGTTGCTGAATGCTTCGGGCTATTAACAGTGAGGATGTAGTTATGATGCATATTATCTGAAAAACAAAAAGGAAAACCTTCATTAGATTAAACATTGTTAAATGCCCTTTTTTCATCCATTTGAAACTGAATATTTACACACCATAACTCTATCCAATGTTACTCTAATATTATATTTTTTAATTCATCAGTTTAATGGGATTTCCTATTCCATCAGTCATATGCAAAGCACAATATCTTTGACAATCAATCACAAATCATTTTTCATAGTTTGGACTGCATTATGATATGAAAGGTTAATCCTGGCCACTATGGCTTACTGTACGTCATGACCATATGAGCTGCTGTAACAGTCAGCCTGCATATTAACAATACTCAACAGAGATATTCTATCAAATAACAGAACCACAAACCTTAAATCCCAACTGTCCCACATGTGGAACCAAATCCCTCTATCCCTCCTCAGTTGTTCCACTTTTTAGTCTGATGCATAGATCTCTATAAAACTGTTTTATTAAACTATCAAAAGTGTTTTACTGCATTAAACCTTTTATCCAACCTTTACAATGATTCAATTTGTTATTTTGAAAGGTCAAAAAAGAAAAAGGTAGTGCTGAAAACAATTTGTGTTAAAGTGATCATTTTTTTGCACATTAATCCTCATGGTCCACATTATTTGATGTGTGGTAGGGGCAAGTCCTTTTGCCTACATACTTTGTGCTGTAATGTGTCCCTCTTTCCCATCTCAGAAAGTTGGGAGGTATACCACAAAGAGCAAAAAAGTAGAAAACATCTGCTGCATTAGTTAAGAAAACGAATCTAGGGGACTGTGGATAATATGTTGCACAGTCTTGCCATCTGGAAGGGTTAAGGCCTAACTTAATCCGAAATGTTTTTAAGTTTTGGATAGACTGAGGAACGGTTATATTTTCTGTCAGGTTTACATTGCTTTCTTTATCTCTGTTGTAGAGATGTATAATTTCCTGTCTGGACATTCCTCTGAATTACCAACACCTGTCTGAAGTGTTGTGGAGAACACTCACTGTGTGCACCCATCATCATTGTATGTTCTTATACATCACTCTCTTGTGATAAAGAGACCCTGTCTCCATAGTTAATAGTAGGGTTTGGTGAGATGTGCCGCTGGATCTCCTTAGGTCCAGATGATGTGGGAAAATGTAGGTTAAGCAGTTTTCGTATTGCAGTTAGGATGATCCCAAACCAGGGTACATGGTAATTGTAAAAAAACATACCCGCATTCCTAAAAGCACAGATACTAGATATTAACATTTTATACGTAAAAAAAAAATCACCCAATGGGACAGAGAAGAGGGCAAAAAAAAAAAATGCATTGGCAAAATTTAAAAAAACAATTGTTTGTACTGTAGTTTTCTCCTTTTTGATGACATTGTTCTTCGTAATGCCCTGCTGTTACATGTTTTCTCATCTTGTCTCCTGTCTGTAACCAACTTTATATTGTATTTATAAACTTATATTTATAAATAACCAATATTCCTGAAGAAAAGCTATTTTACCATAATATTAAGAATATATACCATTACTATTAACATAGTAACAAAAGGCAGTATTTCAAGAAACGTTTGTACAATTTCTTGAGGGACCGTAATATCCAAGGATACCAGTATCCCTAAGAATGAGATGATGCGTGGACCTATATGGGTTGGACTTGATGGACGTATGTCTTTATTCAACCCCAAATACTATGTAACTATGTAACTATGTAAGAATAACATGAAATATATGTAATATAAATTAAACAAAAAAGCAAAAAAATAAATGTGTGTCTAATCTCCCCCATGCTATATCATAATAATGAAGGCTTTGGCATGCAATGGGTTATAGGACTGGATATTCTACTTAAAAACATCTCAGTAAAGGCTTCATATTATTCAGGATGGTAATGGTTTTATGAAATAAGCCATTTTGCTTTGAAGTCCAGCAGTCATTTTTCTTTGTGGCCACAGGGTGTCAGTGAATGCACATCTAACATTCAAGCTGTGTTTCGGCTGTTAGGGCCTAATAAAACCATACAATTATATAGCAATTTGTATTTCCATCAATTGGGTGACAATATGAATGCTTTTTATTATGACATTTTTTATTTATAAGATTTTCATTTTGAATGAACAGCATTTCCATACAATGCACTTAGAGGGTCATGAACATATATGCTTCATCAATTGCTATTACATTTATCTCTCATATATTCTTATATAATCAGCCTCGGATTCCTTCAGTACAGTACTGTTATTTTAAATCTTGTGCATCTACTTCAATAGACAATAGAAACAAGTAAATGACTTTTCCCTGCCTAGTGCTTGTATTTTGTGTGTCTAATGCAGCCTCTCTCAACCAGGGCGCCTTCCAGCTTCCTCAGGGGTGCCTCAAAATGTCTACTAACACTATGGAAACAAATGATGCTAATTCCTGGAAGGTGGGATCCATTCACAAAAGGATGGTAGTTCTCCTCCATCCATGCCTGCTCCTCCTCCCACCCTGTGCCATGCTGCCACAGCAGCAGCTCTTGATGTAAAAGGGGGATCTGATGTGAAAAGGGGGCTTCTGATGTGAAGAGGGCTTCTGATGTAAAAGAGGGGGGCTCTGATGTGAAGGAGCCTCTGATGTACACACATCTTGGGATCATTCATTGAGTTCCATTTGATTCATACATATACAGTACATTCAATATAAAAGATGAACAGTAAACAACCTTTCATAGCAAGTCCCAATTCACCTATTAAAACATACACTAACCATCCAGTCATCCCCCCTTCCACCCCTATCCTACATAGTCCCCCCCCCCCTTTTTCTTGTTG